GCACATAATGTAACATGACATATTAATAACCAAATTGTCAGGTCACCTGTCATAACCAAATTATACTTGATAATCCCTATCACTCTATAACTATAGCATGCAAACTGGTTTCAAAATTCACCTCTGGCAACTGTCTCCATAGCTTTTATTTGTTACTGTTTGTAATTTAAAATATTTTGTTTTTATAGTATTGATATTTTGATGTTTTGCCTAATATTGCTAAATTTTTATACCAGATTGAGTCCAAAAATAGAGATTATATTTGTCTCTGTGCATCCTGTGATCATTCTTTTGTTTGTTATTTGTTACATTCATTCATTCATTCCTTTGTATCATCTTATATTTCAGACATGTGTTGCCAAAGGTGATTCAACTTGATACAAAGACGAGTCATGTTAGGGCATACACATTATGTTGCTTCAAGAAACAAAATGACCGTCTGGTCTCCATTTTGTTTGAAATATGCTGGTTCCATATAATCACAAATAGTTGCTTAATTATGTTGGTCTTTGTTCAGATTCCTATAGAGACCTGGATTGACCTTCATGCATGTGTCCATCCAATCGCATGCACCTGTATTTCATGCCTAGGCTAATCGTATTCACACACACACATCTTATATCTTGAGATACATATACACTCCCATTCATTTCATGATCTGATTGAAGATGGTCAAATGGCTGCCATTTTAATGTTAAAAACTCTTCCAAATGAAGCATTCATGCGTAATGTATGGATGGTTTTTGTTTAAAGTTGGTACATATATTGAACAATATAAGACATTGCTGCACATCATTCATTCTACTCATTCACTCTGTACACATCTACAGTAAACCTTTTTCCCATCCTGAATAGTATTTTTGATTTTGATTTTTTAGCTCTGCTGTTGACTTCATCGTTTGTGTAATTTTTTTACTTTTTTGATTTCTTCTTAAAAACTACAAGCCTGATTGCTTTGATACTTGGTGTATATGTACCTTGGGTGGATCCCTCTTAGATTTAATCATTTCATGATGATATCTTTAATTCTCAACTTTTGGTGAATATTTTTGTCATTTTTGGTAAAAAGTGATATTTTCGACTTCTTGTTCACCTCTCAGGTGGACCTCTCTCAGATTTTTTATTTTGTGATGATCTTCAATTCTCTAATTTTGATGAATATTTTTATAGTTTTTGGTAAAATCTTTTATTTTTGATTTCTTGTTAAAAACTGATTTTTCTGACTGATTTGATATTACAAAATGTATATATATATATATATGTATTACAGGTGGACCTTTCTAAGATTTGTTCAATTTGTGATGATGTGCATTGCTGAGAGCAATCTCAACCAAAAGGTTGCTTGATTTTTTTTTCTAAAGTATAGTGTTGACCTAAAATAAGGTCTTAAATAAATAATAATTTAATTCAGATAACCTTATTTTCAAGTCCACAATATTGTCTTAGTTTTTCATTAGCAAACTACATTAATTACTGCCAGAGTTGTAGACTAGAACTCAACAGTCTTCAACTAAGATGCATTACATATTCTCTAGAAGAATAGCTGACAAACTGTTTCACAAACAGTTATTTTAAAACATTCTATAAACACAAAATTTGTATTTTGATTATTCTATTCCAGATGATTAATTTATATATATATATATATATATATAACAAAATAATAACCTCTGCGAAAAATGTTATATTATTAAACTTCTCTGAACTTTACTACAACCAACCAAAATCATTGACAAAATGATATCATATTGTCCCAAAAAAAGACAACAGTAATATGCATAAAACTGACATCATAATGTGCTAAAAAATGACATTTTAATATGCTAAAAAATTACATCATGTGTCAAAAAATTAAATCATAATGTGCTAAAAAATTACATTATGTGTCAAAAAATTACATTATAATGTGCCAGAAATAGACACAATGTGCTAAAAAAATTACATTATAATGTGCCAGAAATAGACACAATGTGCTAAAAAAATTACATTATAATGTGCCAGAATAGACACAATGTGCTAAAAAATTACATTATATGTGCCAGAAATAGACACAATGTGCTAAAAAAATTGCATTATAATGTGTCAAAAAATTACATTATATGTGCCAGAAATAGACACAATGTGCTAAAAAAATTACATTATAATGTGTCAAGAAATTACATTATAATATGCCATAAATAGACACAATGTGCTAAAAAAAATATATAATAATGTGCCAGAAATAGACACAATGTGCTAAAAAAATTGCATTATAATGTGCCAGGAATAGACACAATGTGCTAAAAAAATTGCATTATAATGTGTCAAAAAATTACATTATAATGTGCCAGAAATAGACACAATGTGCTAAAAAAATTACATTATAATGTGTCAAAAAATTACATTATAATGTGCCATAAATAGACACAATGTGCTAAAAAAAATATATAATAATGTGCCAGAAATAGACGCAATGTGCTAAAAAAATTACATTATAATGTGTCAAAAAATTACATTATAATGTGCCAGAAATAGACACAATGTGCTAAAAAAATTACATTATAATGTGCCAGAAATGGACACAATGTGCTAAACAAATTACATCATAATGTGCTAAAAAAAGACATTATTGTGCTAAAACGTCATAACCTGCAAAAAAAATGATGTAATATGCTAAAAAAATTACATCATAATGTGCTAAAAAAAGACATTAATGTGCTAAAACGTCATAACCTGCAAAAAAAATGATATAATATGCTAAAAAGTCATCATAACCTGAAAAAAAATGATATAATATGCTATAAAATTACATAATGCACTAAAAAAATTACATCATAATGTGCTGAAAAAAGACATTAATGTGCTAAAATGTCATAACCTGCAAAAAAAAATGATGTAATATGCTAAAAAAATTACATCATAATGTGCTAAAAAAAGACATTAATGTGCTAAAACGTCATAACCTGCAAAAAAAATGATATAATATGCTAAAAAGTCATCATAACCTGAAAAAAAATGATATAATATGCTATAAAATTACATGATGTGCTAAAAAGTTGTATCGTGATATGCTAGAAATCACAAAAATGGTGAATTGTTAACAAGCTGAAGTTATACGAATAAGTACATGTATAGAGTAATATGTGTACTCAATGTGTATCAAGCTTACTATGTTATTTATTATTATGTTATAGAGTATGGGTGATGAAGAAGACAGTGATTTCTCCATATCATCATTAGAAGACTTGGGTTCAGCCGCTGCTCCAAAACCTGTGGCAGCGTAAGTAATTCTCATTCAGTAGTCGTGATTATTCATACAAATCCATTGCAGTAATTGTCCAGTAGTCTGTGGTGCCACCTACAGTAATTGCCCAGTAGTCTGTGGTGCCACCTACAGTAATTGCCCAGTAGTCTGTGGTGCCACCTACAGTAATTGCCCAGTAGTCTGTGGTGCCACCTACAGTAATTGTCTAGTAGTCTGTGGTGCCACCTACAGTAATTGTCCTAGTAGTCTGTGGTGCCACCTACAGTAATTGTCCAGTAGTCTGTGGTGCCACCTACAGTAATTGCCCAGTAGTCTGTGGTGCCACCTACAGTAATTGCCCAGTAGTCTTGGTGCCATACAGTAATTGTCCAGTAGTCTGTGGTGCCACCTACAGTAATTGCCCAGTAGTCTGTGGTGCCACCTACAGTAATTGCCCAGTAGTCTGTGGTGCCACCTACAGTAATTGCCCAGTAGTCTGTGGTGCCACCTACAGTAATTGCCCAGTAGTCTGTGGTGCCACCTACAGTAATTGTCCAGTAGTCTGTGGTGCCACCTACAGTAATTGTCCAGTAGTCTGTGGTGCCACCTACAGTAATTGTCCTGTAGTGAGTGATTTCAACTATAGCTATTTGTACTCTCCCACTCGCTTGTTTAGTTTATCGCGCAAAAGTGACATTCACAAGATGCTGTGGCTGTTGCACTTTTAACAGTACGGCTATGAGGTGCGATTAATGACTTATACCATGACACTCTGTGATGAAAACTCTAAATAAATGCACACACTACTTAACCCCCTATGCTGTTAGTCAATAGGTACATTTGTGTATGCACAAACCAAAACTTTAGTTATTACTAATATGTAAAAAAAAAAATTGTGTCATGGTGCATATTGATTACAAAATCTACATAAAGGTAAAAGGTAAATAGCTGCATACAATGTTAGCGAATTGGATTTCATGTTGAATTTCAGCAAGTCACATTGGGCAGCCAATTTGCAAACTCGCCAGTGAATTGCCTATCTGCTTAGGTTGCCTTTCGAACCTCGCTGGTGCCAACTTGTGGTCACGGCCACTCTGGGCAGGTCTATATTGCAGCTGGGGACATGAATGTAGAATGCTTTTACGTAGGTGATTTGCTGTATTATGCGAGTTGTGATAATATAAAAGGAGTTTACAATTGCCAAATTGGTCGCCAAGTATGAGTAAATTACAAAAAAAAAGGCTGCTCACCCCATTTTTTAAAAAAATTGTCATATCAAATAATAGAGCATACTGTCATAATTACACCTTTCCTTGGTCAGAACCACAGTCAGTTGTTGTACAAGTGGTAAGATGAATGCTATTTAATTCACTGATATTTACTATATGAGGGTAGCTATCTTGAATATGGCATGAAACTAAATAAAGAGACAAGCTAACCGCTAATAACATTTGGCCACATTCGTCAAACTCATTACACTAACTTCACAAGCACATCAGTGGCAAAAAGATTAGAGAATACTGAAAGTGTGATGAATGTCCCTTTGCCGCTTTCATAATGGAGCTGAAAAGAGGCTGTTTTCAGCAAGTCGTTATAATTTAGTTGTTTTTTGGTGTAACCCTGTCGACACACCAGCCCCCCATCCTTTGTACGAGATATAGATTTGGTACTTTATGATTTACCTATCAGTAAATAATCTGAAAAAATAAAGATGAGGTAGTACAAATGGTTTCAGAAGTTGTTTATTTATATTCCACTACATGAAATCATTGTATGTTTCCTAGTGTAATATAGATTTGTCCAGAGTGGGTGAGGCCAAAAGTCGGTGTCAGCGACATTCAAAAATGAACTATTTAGTCATAAACCAAGCTGTTATGCAATTTGCTAGCGAGTTTGCACATTGGCAGCCCTAATGCTTCTGAGACTTGCTGTAACAGAATCTTAGTTAAAGTGTAAACTCATTGTGAGAATATACTTTCTTTAAAATTAGTTACATCTTGAATTAGCGAAATTATAGACTAGGTAAAATATCATGCTAGCTAAAAAGACATGTCCGGGGCAATAGGTCACATGACCCAGGGTACAACATAAAACCTTATCTATGTGTCTTTTTTAACTACTAACTTTTTCAATTAACCCTACACCACATTCTTTTGTGCTAAGTCCTTACTTGGTTAACACAAACTGGTATTCTGATCTGGTTATTAGTTTTGATATGCAAGCATTAATACAAAACTGTTTTTATAATGGTGTTTGTATATATTTTCTTTTGGTGCAGTTCTTCCAGACGGCAACAGCCTGCCCCTGCTCCTAGACATCGCACCTCTTCTGAAACTGAATCCTCTAATACATATGGTACTAGTTTTTGGGGATCTGCTTCACATAAAGGTGAGAAGCTCACAACTCTATTCACGCTATGTATCAGCTTGCATCATAATAACCTCTTTCTTCTTGTATTTTCTGTGCTCCTGTTATTTTATAAAATTTCTCATCATTTCTTATGTATCTAATATATTCCGATGTATTTCTTTATAGGCCATTCTACTTGGCATGACAATAGATCAGTTTTCAGTTATAGACCACTTTACTTGGCATGGCAATAGACCAGTTTTCAGTTATAGACCACTCTACTTGGCATGACAATAGATCAGTTTTCAGTTATAGACCACTCTACTTGGCATGACAATAGACCAGTTTTCAGTTATAGACCACTCTACTTGGCATGACAATAGACCAGGTTTCAGTTATAGACCACTTTACTTGTCATGACAATAGACCAGTTTTCAGTTATAGACCACTTTACTTGTCATGACAATAGATCAGTTTTCAGTTATAGGCAACTCTACT